GCCAGGCCGCGCCGCGCGCCCCGCCGCCCTGCCGCCCTGGCCGCACGGAGGAGGCCGCCGCGGCTGCGAGGCCGCGGATGGGGCTATCGGCTGCCCGCGCACGGTGAAGTCGGGCGTGTCCCCCTACAGGGGGCTTTCCGACGAACAATAAAAGAAATAGCCAAAGAATTCGCCAGAAATAATCAACAAACAGTCTGGGGTCTATTCCCACCAGCCCTCTGGGCGTCGGTGGTTTAGGGCGTTTCCTCTTCCACCCCTCCCTCTTCCCCTTCGGGGAGGGGTTTACCCCTCCCCCTACCCCCTCCCCACTGACCTGGACAGGAGGGGCGGGGAGCGGTCAGAGCGTCCAAAACAGCCTCGACGAGGAAGCCAAAATCATTGATTTTAGAAGGGTTTTGGCCCCATTTTGGCCTCCTGGGGGGGCACCGCTAATTAAAGCTCAGCTCTTCTTTGATAGATCTCCTCCAAGATGGCACAAAGAAGCGCCCAGGAGGCCCCAAGAGGTCCCAAGATGGCCCCAAGATGGCCCCAAGAGGCCCCCAGGAGGCCCCCAGAAGGCCGCCACGAAGACCCTCAGAGGCCCCACGAGGCCCCCCCCCGAGGCACCCAAGACCCCGAAGAGCCCCCCAGGATCGCCAAGAGACCCCCAAGACGTCCCAAGAGGCCCCCAAGAATCGCCCAAGAGATACTCCAAGAGGCTCCTAGAGGCATCCAAGAGACCTCTGGCCCTTGTGCTTGCCCTCCTCCTCCTCCTCCTCCTCCTGTTCCTCCTTCCTGCTCCTACTCCTTCTCTCCTCCTCCTCCTCCTCCTCCTCCGCCTCCTCCTCATCCTATTCATCCTCCGTCTTCCCACTCCCTCATCCATCCATCCATCCACCTCCTCCTTCTCCTCCTCACTCCTTTGCACGGTTCGGCCGTCCTCCTCTTTGCTGCCGCACTTCCCTGATCACCTCAACTCGCCTGGACATCGTTTCGGGATGGGCTGGTGGGGATAAGCGAAGCGTCTAGAATTTTATATTACTTTTGGGCATCGTTTGGCATCTTTTCCGTATTTTTTAAATTTCGTCGAAGATCCCCCTGTAGGGGGACACGCCCGACTTAAAGCGTACAGGTGTCCTTGCTTTTCTTATCATTTGCGCGTGCAGTCAACCCGTGTAGTGAGGATGCGCGATGAAGATGCAAGGGCCTTGGACGCCCCATGCGAAGCTCTTCGAGCGGGGCGCGGCCAGCGAGCGTGGCGAAGCATGGACCGCGGGGGCAAGGATGCAGGGGTACCCTTGGGAAGGCTGCCCATCCTCATTATGCGGGTTGACTGTAACGGCCGTTACCCCAGGGGGGAGGGGGGCGCGGGTAGCAGGAACGCTTGGCGGGAGGGGTCGGCCATATGCGCAAAGCCTGCGAGCATCGGCAGGGCGCCTGCGAGCAGTGGCAAGGCGCCTGCGAGCACCGGCCCCCCCCTCCCCAAAACGCACGATCGTCACCGCTACCCGGGACGTTACGCGCCAGAGGACTACGAAACCACCCCAGCCCAACCCGAAGACCCATATTCCGCCCGAATTTCAGATTGGGTGGGGAACGGGTCCCATGTGCTCTTTCAATGTTCGACGCCCCCCCCCCACTGGAAATGGAGGGCAGATTGAAGCCTTCGGGTTGGGTTGGGGTGCTTTGGTGGGTGGTGAGCAACGATGCTGGAAGCGCCCTGTACAGGTGGCGCCCACCAGCCAGGAGCCCTTCTTTTTGCCACTCGCGAGAACGCCCGTGGCCGGCCCCATCCCCCCCCCCGTCCCCACCCACCTGGTCACGTCACATCTCGCGCCAGCGCCGTCTGGGAGTGAGTCATTCTTGAGCATTCCCAAACTGTCTGGGAGATTAGAAGAACTGTCTCCAGGCAGCCGCCTCCATGCGCTCACCCGCAGGGCCTGCCATGGGCAGTGGCGGCTACTGGCAGGGCCCACTTATTATCTGGGCATGGGCGCCCCAGGCCCAGGGATGCGGAGGATGATGGGCAGAAGGAGGGAGGAGCCTTCCTACTACGGCGCAACGTGTCACTAAAGAAAAAGTGTAATAAGCTGAGGAGATACGCATCGGCCAGCACTCATGACCCACCATCAGTGCCACCAATAACGGAGAGGACGGGGGAGTAGGAGGAGGAGGAGGAGGAGGACCGCGGAGCTGGCTCCTTCGGGAGCCCGCTTGTTCAGAAACTGTTTTACCGCATCTCTGTGGCCGACTCGGCCCAAATTGACACCCCTCCCACCGCTCGTCCTCACGTGTCGTGTGTGGTGTGTATGTGTGTATGTGTGTGGGCATATGTGTGTGGGTGTTGTCCCCCATCCATCCTTCGCCACCCCACGAGCCTTGCTGTCCCGAAAGATGCGGAAGCATAACTGGAGGTGAATAGCGCGGAGATGTGTGGGCGAGGATGCCCTCTGCCCTGTCTGCAAGACCCAATTTGGCTCGAGGTGGCGGGCTACAATTCATCTAACTAAGTACCCCCCTGGCGCCGACCCCAACGATTCGTGTAACAGGAAATTCGAGGAATGCCCCTCCTCCCACATGAAGAAGTGGAGCGGCTCGACTCCTCGATACGTGCTGAATGGAAAGGGACTACAAGGATGGCTCCCAACCAGTCACGAAGACGCCAGCTAAGAGGTAGGTGACTCTGGAGAAATGTGTTGATGATGTTGTGTACAGTTAGACGTGAGACCTCCCTGGGAACCTGGGAAGTAGGAGGAGGAGGAGGAGAAGGATGGTGATAATGATGACGACGACGACGACGACGACGACGATGATGATGATGATGATGATGATGATGATGATGATGATGATGGTGGTGGTGGTGATGATGATGATGCTGATGACGATGATGATGATGATGATGATGATGTCGATGATGATGCTGATGTTGCTGCTGCTGCTGGTGACGATGATGATGATGATGTTGAGGATGATGGTGTTGATGATGCTGCTGATGCTGATGCTGATGATGCTGTTGATGCTGAGTATGATGCTGATGCTGATGTTGCTGCTGCTGATGATGATGCTGATGATGATGATGATGATGCTGATGCTTATGATGATGACGATGATGATGACGATGATGATGATGCTGATAATGATGCTGATGATGCTGGTTGTGATGGTGATGCTGATGCTGATGATAATGCTGCTGATGATGATGAAACGCTCCCCAGTGCGGTTCATTGGACCCAGACTGGACAACAAAGCGCCAGAGACTATGAGGCCGACCGATCTCGACCGCCACACTCCTGGAGAAGCTTACTGGCCACATCATGTAACATTTGGAGAGGACGAATACCAATCCAGGCCAATCTACAGCCTCTACTTCTAAGAACCATCAGGGCGGCATGCTGCCGAAGAGTCGCGGGCAGCGCCTACCCACGCGGGCTTCGCATGTTGGGCAATTGCAGCGAAGAGACTGAGGAGGGGGACGGAGGGGGAGGAGAGGGATGAGAACGATGAAAGGGAAGATGAGAAGACATGAGAGGAACAACCACATGCATAAACACACACTGTCGGAGATCCGCGCGAATCTGTTGAATCAGCGCTGAAGGCCCCCCCTGGCGGCGCCTCCGGCGACATCCCTGGCACGCTCCGCACGCCAGGGACGGAGAATCCAGCGTCGACGGGAGAAATCCGCGCGGACATCCGAACATGTATGCTAGTGTCGCTGTTTCGTCTTCGAGGATGACGAGGCTCCTCCTCCTCCTCCTCCTCCTCCTCCTCCTCCTCCTCACCCTGCCCCGCCTGCTCCTCTCCGAACGGCAAGCAGAAATGCATTCGGCGCAATCCCCCGACCCTGTCAGCCTGTGTGAGGAGCTTTTTCCGCTTCAGCCGTCGTCGTCGCCACTCCCCTCCCTTGACGCCTTTCCGTCTAAGTCGTCGTCATCGCCCCTGTCCCTTGAAGGCCCTCCTCCTCCTCAAACGTCCCAGCTAGAGGGAAATCGAACACGTCGTAATCGAGTCGAAGGAAAGCCCCTTCACTTTGATCCCTGCCCCGCCGGGGAGGGGGGGGCCGGGGGGGGTCCCAAAGGAGGTCGGGGAGGGGGTTCCCGTGGTTTGTGATCCCCCCCCCCCGCCAGGGGGGAGCACACCTCCCTTCGAGAAGCGTCCCCCATTGATATCTTGCCCCTCAGACGCCTCGAGCTCACTTGTACCGCGGCTGGCTCCAAGGGGGCCCTGAAACAGCCCAAGATCGCTCGAAGACAGCCTTAGTTCCCTCAAGACGGCCTCAGAGGCCCCCAAGACGCCCCAAGAGGGCATCAAGTAGAGCCCCAAGGGCCCCCAGAGGCGAAAACCCATGATTTGCATTCACTTGTTCGATGTGTTTCGCGTCCTCGCCTTTTCGGGCTTCCGACGCTCCAAGAACGGGCCAGGAAGCTACCACAGTCGCCGCAAGAACGTTCAAGACGCTGCCGAGAGCGCCCGACAACAGCCCTAAGACGGCCCAAGAGGCTCCAAAAACGACCGAATAGGGCCCCAAGAGGCTCCCGAGAGGGAGAACACCACCAACCGACTTTTCAAGATTTCCGCCCCAAGAGGGCCCCTGGAGGCCGGCCACAAGAGGCGCCCAAGAAGCCCCCGAGAGGCTCCCAAGAGACCCAAGGGAGTCCCCAGATCACTACGATGACAACCCCAAGACGGTAAACTCAATGGTTGTCCCAACACTCATGGGATGTTTTTCGTCGTCGCGGTCGCTGTCGTCGTCGTCGTCGTCGTCGTCGTCGTCGTCGTCGTCGTAGTCGTCGTAGTCGTCGTCGTCGTCCCCCTTCAGAGACAACGGCACCAACCGCAAGACCTTCGCAATAACAAGGGATTGATGAACGGGGTGGGATGACAGATGTGGCGCAAGCGCGCCCAGCTTGCAGTTCTCGCCCTCCGCCGTCCCTTTCCCTGCTCCCCTTCCCGCGCCCTCCTCCTCCCCCTTCTCTTCCTCCTCCTCCTTCTCCTCCTCCTGCCCCTCCTGCTCCTCCTCCCTC